GGTCATTTTCCAATGGTGTTACCTCTCCTGCCCCCCAAGGCCCACCCTCGACACTCCCCCTAGAAAGCCCCAAGGACCAGCAATGGCCCTGGGTCTGCAGCAGCAGCAGCAGCATCTGGGGACCGTGGCCTTCACCGCCCAGGGCTGTGTTTGCTGGCTCTGCAGGTCCGGGGGGACCACAGCCCCGGGGTCTGCGCCTTTGGCCCCTGCCTCCCAGCTTCCCTTGAACCAAAACCAGTCACTGCTGGCCCCAAGGGCTCCTCCCCAGCCTCCAGCCTGGGGCAGTGCACATAACTGCAGAGGCTGGGGGATAGCGGTTGGTCCCCAAGGTCCCCCAGGGAGGGGTAGCCAAGCTCCTGGGAAGTGCGCTCAACCGTCGTTTGTCAGGAGTTCCAGCTTCCAGTAGGGGCCACCTCTCTGGCCAGGGAAGCAGGCTGGGTTTGAGCTGAAAGACAAAGAAAGGGAGATAAGGGGCTAAGATGCCTGGTTTGCGCAAGAAAGGAGTGGTAGATGTTCCAGGACTGACCAAAGACCGCAGGGGCCGCAGCGCACGAGGGCCCTGGAGGGTCAGGGGGCCGGCAAGCCTCTGAGGAGCATCCCAGGCACATCCAAGACAATGGGCAGAGAAGGCCTGCAGCGGAGGCCGCTGTCCGCCCAGCCCTTGGTGGGGAGGCCACGCTCGAGGGCATTGTCACAAAGCACCACTGATGGGTGGCATGGGAGAAATGGATTGTCTCCCGGTCCTGGAGGCCGGAAGTCCAGACGGAGGCATCGGCAGTGCTGGTTCCTCCTGAGGGGTGAAGGAGCGTGTGGTCCAGGCCCCTCCTTCAGCTGCTGGTGGCTTGCCGGTGGTCGGTGGGGTTCCTTGCCTTGAGATGCATCGCCCCGCTGTCTTCCTCCATGTTCACGTGGCCTGCTCCCTGCGTGCCCGTGTCCGAATTTTCCCCTTGTTATAAGGACACTAATCAGACAGGACTAGGACCCACCTTAATGCCTTCATCTTAACGTGAGTATCTCTGCAAAGACCCTGTTTGCAAATCTAGCTACAGCCTGAGGTCCTGGGGTTAGGACTGCAACATAGGAATTGGGGGACCACAGCTCAGCCCCTAACAGCTGTGTCCGGGATGTGAAGTGGACGATGCACCCAGGGCAGGCAGGTGGGGCAGGCTCCATTGGGCCCTGGGGATAGCCCCGGAGGTGGTTGGGAAGATGGGGCAGTGGAGGGGCAATTAGAGTTCAGCCCCGGAAGGTCTGTGTGGGTGGCGGGTCAGGATGGATCCTCTGTGCTTGGTGGAGTGGGCGGAGGTGGGCCATGCGGGCCCCATTGCTCCTGGGAACCAGGCCCCGGCACCCACCGTATCCTGGGCGGGTGGGCTCTGCTCGGTGCGCAAGGTCAGGGCCAGGCACGGGCTCTTTGGTGCAGCCAAGTTCTCCATCAGGGGGCTTCCTGTCCTGGGGTCAGCTGGATGGGGTCCCCCGGTGTGCTCTCAGGGTCTGTCTACACAGGTCTGGCGGATGCGAGGGGGGTCTGATCCCAGCAATCCTGATTCCCAGCTCAGCCCCAGCCCCGCTGAGCCGCCTAAGCCCCTAAGCTGTCATCAGGCTTTCGGAGAAGGCCAAGCGGCCCTCCAGTAATCGGAGATTACTTCCTCCGAGCTCTCCAGCAGCCCCGGCCCTTGCTGTGACACGCCAGGAGAGGCAGGTCTGTCAGGAGGGCATGGGATGCACCCCGCCCGCAGGGCTGGCAGCAAGACTACACTTTCTGTGCCTGTCACCGCTAGTGCGGCCATCGGGAGCTCAGGTGGGACAGCGGCTTCTGAGAAAGGATGGGTCAGGGCACCTCAAATCCAGAGGATCCAGGCTGAAGGGCAGTGTTACCTGCACATGGACCGGCCCCCGTGGTCCTGGGGGCCGCCGGGCCCTGGGTGCACGTTACTTCTTCCAAACCCCACCTCACCCACGTTTCATCAACCAGGCAGCTGGAGCCCAGAGAGGGTATATAGGCCACTCCAGGTCACCCAGCAAGCAGGTGATGCCAGCATACGAGCTGGGCTGTGGTGCAGGGCTGCCAAGGGGCCTGGATGGTCGAGTCACTGAGGTCCTCAGCCCCAGGCTTGTTGCTCTGTCTCCACAGGCCATTCCGGGCACTGATGGCCCCGCAGATGCCCTCACCCAGCGGCTGTGGGGCCTGAGAATCCACCATTAGCAATTCATTCCTTTGGAGAACCTTTTCCCAAAACACAAACCCTAAGTCACCGTGTCTCTGACACTTCAGACAAAACACTCTGGGCCCCCGCACCTCCCCAGGCACAGGGACAAACCTCCGCTCCCCAGTGTGGCCAAGGCCAGCCCTGGCCAGTGTCACAGGAGGACAACGTCCAGCTACCAGGCACACACAGACACAGAAGGTTCAGGGGCTCAGGGTTCTAGGAAGTGGGGCCCCAGGCCACAGGCACCAGGACGGCTGGATGGAGGTCAGAGGCCAAGTCCCTCCCCACCCCCCACCTCCTTAACCAGTGGCCTGGTTGCTGGGTCCCCCCAAGCCCACCAGCCATCGAAGCCCAGGTCTGGCCCGAGTCCTCCATCTGTCAGCATCTCAGCCTCTCTCGAGCGTCAGAACGCTGGTGACAGGACTAAATCAGGGGACATTGGCTTTCTTTGCTGGAGCCCTGTCTCGCTGCACTGGGGACCCACCGTGAGCAGGGCCCTGGAGCACGCTCCCAAGCTTTCAGGACTCGTTCTGTCTGCTCCCCACGCCTCATCCCCTCGCAGGGGCGCCCGCTCCCTCTCCCCCGCCGGGCCCTGTTTCCTCAGGTGACGCTCAGCACAGCTGACGTTCATTTGTTCGCTGACTTGTGTGTCATCTGACTCGCCCACGAGAACGGAGGCTCCTGAGGGTGGGGACGGACGGTCCACCAGCATCACCCCGTCTCCTGGCTCTTAGTGGGCGCTCAGAGCAAAAGTGTTGGTGGAATGACTGACTGACGGAGTGAAGGAACGAGTGAGTTCCTCAGCAGCAGTCGCTGTTCTGGTGGGCTTGTGGGAGAGGAGAGGGGAGACATCAGCCGGGGCTCAGAGATTGGGTTCCCCGTCTTTCTCGGAGCCACCAGCAGAGCCGGGGTCTGGGCGAGCGGGGCTGTGTTCTCCTGCCCTTGGCAGCTCAGGGCCAGCAGACTCGTGTCCTGGCGGAACTCTCTGTCACTCTTTCCCTCCATCCGGCTTCGCTGCTTCCTAAACTCATCTGGTCTCCTGATTATACTCTCGGGAAATCAGTGAAAAGGAGAGCCACCAGTAATCGCTTTGCAAGATCACCACCATGGCCCGGAATTAGGCGGATTTCTCCTTGAAGGTCTCCTTAGGACTGTCCTGTCCCTGGCCAGGAGGGGGCCACGCCCCTCAGTGTAGGGCAGCTGACTGTCCAGTTTGCCTGTCCAGGACTGACGGGGCTCCCGAGACACAGCAATGCTGGGGCAAGTGGACGTGCTGGCCACCTCGGGGGCGAGGCTGCAGAGCGTGTCCCACTCTGAGTCCTCCCACCCCGCGCCCAGCGTCTGGCTGGAAGAGCCACTCAGGTGAGCACGCAGTCTCCTGTGTGCGTGTCCTCGGTGCCGGGAGCCAGGCGCCTCATGCTTCTCCTTGGGGCCTGGTTACTCGGGGCGTTAGGTTGTGAAAATTCACCACGCCTTGTTAACGCCTCTGTCTGTGGCTACACTGCACTTGAGAGGTTTTTAAAGAATTCGCAGCAGGAGAAGGAAGCATGGCAAGATGGGGACGGGCGACCCCGCGGTGGGGCACCGTGGATCGGGTGCTTCTCTGATCTTTACTGTCAGGGCGGTTTTCCCCCTTCAAAGACAGTGCGTGGAGCAGTTAGGAATTTCGCCATCCTGTGGCTTCATTTTCTCTGCTGCCCCTGGGTGCACGGCTCTCCCCCGGGGAGCTGGGGGATGGCAGGTGCCAGGGCCCCCCCGCAGGGCTCACTCTAGCAGGTGGGAGGGGTGGGGCCCAAACGCCTGTGATCAAAGGAGGTGCACGGGGTGAAGCTCTCTCTTTCCCCCCAGTTCTTGCACTCTGGCACGCCCCGTCCGCGTCCGTCACTCTGATCTAGCAGTGGTGGTGGGATGGTGGGCAGAGCAGGGCTGCAGCTGCGCTGAGTTTGATGAGGCCCAGAGTGCACCGGGGTTTGAGGCCCAGCTCCTCCTCTGCCTGCGGGATATCACCTCGGGTCAGTTTCTGTGCCAGCCGTATTTGCCACGGCGGGGACGAACGGAGGTAAAAGGGCACGTAACGGGCTCTGACAGGTACCAAGAGCTCCGTGAACGCCGAGGGGGCCACAGTGGAGCCAGCGTCTGGTGGAGCCCGTCCCTGGAGCACGGGCGTGCAGTTGTCCCACCGAGCTGGGCAGGGGACCCATTGCTCCTAGCACCTCGTCAGCCAAGCTTTTATGCCTCTTCAGGCCCCGGGGCGGGAGAGGAGGGAGGGAGCGCCCGCCTGGAGGAAATGGGCCATGTCGTGTGATGTGTATTCCCGAAATATGTGAAGCAATTAAATGCCCTGCTTCTTCCGAACTGTGAAAACGGAAAGCTGTAGGGCTGCAACCCTGGCCCCTGGGGATCTCCTGTCGGGCTTTGTGTGCATGGCTGGCGGCCAGGAAAATTGCTCCCAGGTCTGCGTAAGAACCTCAATCGGGTCTGTCCTCCGGCAGCTGCAGAGCGCTCACTCGCTCACTCAGTGGAATTCTGCCACGTGCCACGCGCCAGGTGAAGGACGCCGGCTGCAGGAAGCCCGCTCCCTGGCGCCCTGGCCACGTTAAGTGGCCTGCACAGCCAGCCGCCCGGCTTTCGCTCCTGTTTCCCCAAAAGCACCTTTGGTTCCGAGCCAGGGCGGTCTCCTGATGTCCCTGCATTTGCCCCTCTGGGAGGCAGCCGCATCTCTGCCGTGGGCTGGCCCCCTGCTGCCTCTCCCCGGGACCCACCCTCTGATGCCATGCTGTCTTCCTGCAGGTTAACAATGAGAACGTCGTGAAGGTCGGCCACCGGCAGGTAGTGAGCATGATCCGCCAGGGAGGGAATCACCTCGTCCTCAAGGTGGTCACGGTGACCAGGAACCTCGACCCCGATGACACCGCCAGGAAGAAAGGTGCCCGCCCCAGCTGTCCACGGGATGGGTGGGGGCTGGGGTGGGGCCCTTCTCTCCAGCCTCCTGTGCTGGCACACTTTCAGGGGTGTCCCCCGTCTCCTCCCACTGGGGGGTCCAGGCCCCCCCTCCAAGACTAGGGAAAGAAGCCAGAAAAGGAGGCTAGGAGATGACCTGGGGCTTGCCCGCGGGGCAGTGGCAGCCTCAGGCAAGGGCTGTGCTCAACAGACCAGGACCTGGGGGGCTCCGTGCCAACCTGTCCATCAGTCACTGGGGATGGGTCCCCCCAGGTGCAGCCTGTGCCCATGGAATGAGGAAGGGCCACGGAGCCCGCTGCTGGCCTGTTTGCAGAGGGCAGCTTGCTGGCCCCCCACAGTGACTCAGGTCCACCATCCTTCCCCACGGAGGCCCCAGCTGGGTGACATAGGGGCTGAGTGAGGCCTGCAGAGGCGAGACATGCCCCCAGGTCCCCTTGGTAGGGGAGAGGCTGGAGCAGCACGTCAGTCCTTCTGGCACTCCAGCATTTCCCAAGAGCAAGTGTGCCTACCCCTCCCACCCACCCCGCCAGGAGCCCTCAGTCTGGGCTGGGGAGAGAGCAGGTGGTGCAGCCAGGAGGGCTGCCTGGAGGAGGGGCCGTGAGCTGTGGAGGTTGTAGGGGAGGAGGGAGTAGACCACCGCGGCCCTCCCTGGAAGCACTGCTACGGGGGCTCCTCTGGGCCCCTGAATGAGTGGGAGGGCAGATCCCGAGAGAGGACATCACACATGAGAGTCACATCTCTGCCGTGATTGGGGGAGGGGGGCACAAAGGGGAATCCCCACCTGCTGAGGATGCTGACAGGTGGCAGCAGAGGCCTACAGAGGCCACAGGAATCTTCCGTCCCCGTTAGGCGCAGGCGCGGTGCAGAGAGAGCGCTCCCCTCTGCAGGCTTTTGCTGCGTTTCCCACTCACCCGAGAGGGCAGGGCCCCAGTGCCGGGTGTGCTGCTGGGTGCAGGGTGACAGCAAGCTCTCCAGAGAGGGCCCGCCCCGGGTCCCCTGAGCACCCTGCCTGGTCCCAACCCATCTCAGCCCGAGGAGCCTGCAGACAATTTCAGCCTTGTGACTCATGGCAGGGTGACAATTGCTGGCTTCCCTGCCCTGGGGGACAACCCCTGCCTGTCTGCCTTCCCGGAAGAAAACCACAGGCTCAGGGTCAGTGGCCTCCCAGATTGTTCTGGAAGGTGGGGGAGGAGGAGCTTGGCGGCCAGGTCCTCACCCTCCTCTTTGTCTGCCCCTCAAGCTCCCCCGCCGCCAAAGCGCGCGCCCACCACGGCCCTCACCCTGCGCTCCAAGTCCATGACCTCGGAGCTGGAGGAGCTCGGTAAGAGTCAACCGTTCAGCCCGCCCCGCCTGCGCTGTCGCCGCTCCCAGGCCGCCCCAGCGCCGGCCTCCGCGGAGCCCCAGCTCATGCATGGCCCTGTGCCTGCTTGCTTGCCCCTCTCCTGGCCCCCAAGCCTGGGAATGGCGTCAGGACTCGCCCGGGCGGGTGGCTCCCGCCGTGGCATCTCCCTCAGAATCCTGCTGGCTTCAGGGGTGTGGCTACAGTGGGGCCCTGTCCCCTTCTTGGTTCATCTAACATTGTTTTGTTTTGAATTTTTGGGCCTCTCACTAGTGGATAAAGGTAAGCTGCCCCCCAGGGTCCCCCAAACCGCTCCCCCTGACGTCTAGGGCGCCCTCCCCTGGAACCTGCCTTTGCTGGCCGTCTAGGCTCGGCTCAGACCACAAAGCTCGGCCCTGGGGTGTGGCATAGAGAGCAGCGGAGTTGGCGGGCCAGGCGGGCCGCACCCCAGGCTTAGGGAGCCGCTGAGACCTTCTCAAGAGGTCCGTGAGGAGCAGAGAGGGCTCTGGCCATCCCACCCCATCATGTAGCTGGGGAAGGATAAGCAGTGACATGGCCCTGGGTCTAGTGGCCCGTGGTAGCTGTTGAAAAGAGGGATGACTCTGGAGCTGGCAGCATGAGCCCCGCAGAGGCTGGTTAAATGTCCGATCGGGGAGTCACCATGGAGCCCGGGACACCTTTGGAAGGCGAGTGGCGCTGGCCCCCACAGAAGTAGCAAGGGGCTGCCAGGCTTGCTCAGCTGAGAACACGAGGAGCGCCCACGGGTGGGGACGGAGGAGCCTCTGTGCTCTCTGCACAGGCGGGTGTACGTGGGCCACAAAGCAAGCCCCGTGCGCCAGGCCCCCTCGTCAGCCCAGCGGGTCCGGCTGGTAGAAACCCAAGCACCCTCACTGGTGTTTGAGCTGATCTGAGCCTTCAGTGGGAGACCCTTCGACCCCTCCTCTCCCCAGGAAAGTACAGTGGCCCCTTCCTCCCTGTGGCTCCTCTGGGCGGGGTCTCGTCCGCTCCGTCCATGGCGGGCGCAGTGGAGCAGGCTGACCAGCTCACCGGCCGAGGCCGCCTCCGGGCGATCACCCCTCACTGTCACTGCGTTCTGGGCTGGAATCTGCGGGTCTGCACTGAGGCCTAGGTCTTTTAGGAAAGAGCACCCCTGCGATGGTGTGGCCCACCCACACCCAGAACCAGTAGTTCCCCACAGGTCCCTTGTCTTCTGGCCCCCTGCTTGACCACACCTTGTCCATCCAAACAAGACTCACCAGGAAAACCACACTGTCCCCTGCGCCTGGCCCAACACCTGATGGGGATGACATTGTGAATTACTGCGTGGCCTTCTCTAAAACAAGACAGCACGTGCCACGCTGGCTCCTTGAAGGTGCCTGGGGCGGGCCTCCCCTGAGAGGACCAGCCAGCAGCTCCTCTTTAAAGAGGGGCTCGAGTGGGCCAGCTCAGACAGGGGGGCCCCGTGCAGGTCCCGGAGCCCTCGGCATCCCGAGGCCCTCTCTCCTGTGCCAGGCCTCGGGCACCCTTCCTAAAGGCTGCTTCTGTTCCCACTCGCTCAGGTGGGACTCAGTTTCCACCCTGGCCCGGGCGGGGAGCTAGGTGAGAAGGAAGGCCCCAGGAAGGCGCCTGGTCCTCCCAGGAAGCACATTCACCAACGGGCGGTCAGACAGGGAGGGTCACCGTGCCCAGCTTCCCAGGGAAGCCGCAGACAGTGCATCTCACTCTCTGGATGCCCGCCTGCCAGGGTCTGGCCCCTGTGGGCTGTGGGCGGTCAGGCTGTGGGCCCCCCCCACCCCCAGTGCGCATCGCAGCCCAGGCACTGGGCGAGCACTGCCACCGCGGACTCACGCGCCCCTCTCTGTTTGCAAGCCTCCGTCCGGAAGAAGAAGGGTAAGGGGCGAGCCCTGTCTGTCCCCAGCCCCCACACACCCTGTGGGGGACCCCTCTGTGGCCGTCAGCGTGGTGTCTACAATGTGCGGTGACTTTGTATTGTCTTCTCCCTGCTTGGGGTCCCGCCAGGAGGCCTGGGCTCCAGGACACGTCCCGTTTCAGTCTGTTCCGTCTGCTTCGCTTCTCCCGTCTGTGGTCCCCCCCAACATGTTCTGCATCCCCCCCCACCCCGACTTGTGTCTACGTCATCATGACTGTGAAGCCCTCGGGACTCGGGCTGTCACAGCCGAGTCTGCCTTGCTGGGGACCCTCTGAGCTCTGTGGACAAGGCCACACGAGGCTGCTGGCAGGGTGCAGGCCAGTGAGCCCCTGGCAAATGGATAGAGGGAAGGGTCCCTGGCCGCTGGCTGCCTTCGCCGCAGGCAGGGGCTGCCTCCCTTGAGCTCCCAGAAGGCCCCTCGCTCTCTGAGAGCCCTGCTCTGTACCTGCAGGACAGCTGTCCTCAAGGTGGAGGCCGGGCGGAGCCATAAGGCTGCACCCCTCCCTGCCCCTCTGCAGGGCTGGCACAGGGTGGGAGGAACAGCACAGACACAAGCCCGGGGTGGCCGACAGCAGGGCCCCAGACGGACTCAGGCTCCGCCTGCACCGCACTATATGTGGGGGCTCCTCGCCTGGCTGCTGGAGACAGGCACCCCAACAGTGAAAGCAGCGCCGTCAAGTCAAAACCACTTATCCCAGGGGCCGGAGGGGAGCCTGTCACGTGACCCAGGCACTGTGCTGAGGCACAGTGTAGTGGCCACAACACTGGAATCTGGGGAGGGGAGAAGGGCCTTGGAACCCAGTAAGGCCGTGTCTCGGGACAGGGGTGTGGGTCCTGGAGCCCCAAGTCGCACACACCCCCTTCTCCCCCAACTGTCTCCGCAGATGCAGGCCAGTCCAGCAGGCTTTCTTGGGAGCAGTCCTGGGCCTCCACCCCAGCCCCTAGGGGTGGCCCAGGGAACTCCCAGGGGGCTATGTAGGATGGGTCACCACATCAACCACGTGGTGGGTGCCCTGGAAACAAAGTTTCCTGGGATTACATTTCTCTCTGAATTCCCCTTCAATCCAAGGCCCATCCCCTGCTGTCAGGCGCAGCCCCTCTGTCCACCGGACTGTCCTCACAATCCCCCACCAGAAGCTCCGAGGAACCCAGCAGCCATGCAGAGCTGGCCCAGTGTCTGTTGTCAAGGAGAGCCTCAGAGGCGCCTGTGGCCTGCACTCCTCCCTGCCAGCCCCATCCGCGCCACTCTCCTCCCCGGGGCAGCTCCAGCAGCCAGATACCCCGGAGCCTGAGGGAGGATGGGGACAGAAGTGGGCACGTGGCCTGCGTGGGCCCAGGCAGAGTCCACACGAGGACAGGCAAGAGTCTGGAGAGTGGAGACCCGCCTTCCTTTGAACAGCAGAGAAAACTGGATGCAAATTCGAGATCAAATGCTCCCTCCCCGTGTTCCCTGAGCCCAGCTAGAACAGGAGATGGGTCGGGGGCAAGGCCCGAAGGGCCCAGCAGCCGTGGCGCACCCAGCTCTTGAGGGGCAGGCGGCGGAGTGCGCTTGTCCACCCATCACGGGGCTGCAGTGTCCCCTCCCCTGGCCCGCGGCCCTGCCAGCTCAGAGCCTCAGTTCCTCACAGTGCAATCGGGGACCCACCACAAAGGGTGAGGGCATCCCATGGAGTCGTGCCCGGCGCCCACCCAGCTCATAGTAGGTGTGCAATGAGCACTCAAACTCCCGTCATTCTGCCCCCGCCGGTCTCTTCCGGAGCACTGGCCTCCCCTCTTAAGAAGCGTCCATCACACTCCACAAAGGCCGAGGGAACAGGAGAAAAGCCGGCCTTCATGGATCTACTGGTTGAATAGTGTCCCCCAGAATTCGCGCCCACCTAGAACCTGAGCATGGGACCTTACTTGGAAATAGGGTCTTTGCAGATGGAATCAAGATGAGTCATACTGTAGCAGGGTGGCCCTGCCCCAATGACTGGTCCTCATAAGAGAAAGGGCAGGGACATTTTGACACAGACACAGAGGAGAGGGCCACGTGAAGACAGAGGCAGAGGCTGGAGGGCTGCAGCCACAACCCACAGACGCCTGGAGCCCCAGAAGCCGGAAGAGGCGGGAAGGACCCTCCCCTGGAGCCTCCGGAGGGAGCGCGGGCCTGGGACACCTTGAGTTTAGTCTTCTGGTCTCCAGACTGGGGGAGAATCAATTTTTGTTGTTTTAAACCATCCGGTTTGTGCTACTTTGTCCTAGGAGCTCTAGGAGACGGGTACAACAGTAAAAGGGCCTCACATCCCAGCTCCACCCCAGGAGCCGCCTCCTGCTGGAGTGGCTGCGAGCAAGTTACCGAGATCCCCAGTCCTCGTTTCCTCATCTCTAAGGCCTGCTCTCACCCTGACACTGCACTCACGGGCTCGAGGGTGATCAGGGCCCCATCCCCCTCCCCACGCCCCCGCCAGGGCCACGTAGCCCCGGGCAGTTCCCTGCAGTTGCCAGGCCCGGGGTGGTGGGACAGGCTTGACCCGGGCTTCCTGGCACCTCGGGCTGCACCCTTGGCCAGTCTCTTGGAGACTCGTCAGAGCCTGCAGGCCAGGAGCAGTCTGCTGGGCTGGCACAGCGGCTCCCCACCCCTTCCCTGACTCCTGGGAGGGTTCAACGAGCTGGGCCAGCTGGCGACAGCGGCAGCTGCCAACATGCGCGGCTCGTCTCTAACACCTGGTGCTGCTGGCGTTTCTGTCTTCCTCTTGGAAGCTGTGTTGCGGAGGAAATCCTGCACGTGCCCTCTCACCCCGAGGGATGGCACGAGTGGCCCTGCCCCTCCAGAGAGGTTGGCAGAACGACTAGTTCAAGGGCACGAGGGAGAGGAGAGCGACTGAGGACTGACAGGGTTCGCGGATATCTCAGATGTTAGGAAGCACTTCATGAAGCTGGAGAATTTGAGCATCTCCATCGTGGCCTCGCCGGACATTTCTGGAGCATCTGGGATGCTCTCCCCAGGGTTCCGAGGAGCAGATGGGGGCCTAGCTCCCGGGCTCAGGGTCAGTGCAGCCTTGCATGTGGCCACAGGCAAAGGGGGGCACAGAGCCTGAGAGCCTGGGTCTCTGCAATGGGCACCCGATTTCCACCTGGAGGGAGACAGGTGCAGCCACAGGCTCCCGTCTCAGCCACGTGTGCCCGCGTCATCCTGGCTGCTGGAGTCGTTGCCACAATTGGGTGCCTTCCTCCTGCAAAGCCAGCGGGCTTCTCCAGCAGGAAGGCGCGGGACGCCCTGGGTGACTGTGTTGAAGTCTCTGTGGTCAAGGGTGAGCTCATGGGCTGCGGGCTCTGGTGATGAGCAGGACACCAGCCTTCCTGTCACCCCTCCCCTGGTTCCTAAGAGAACCATGGCTGCGTGTGACCTGACGGTGCTTGACGAGTCCGCCACCTCGCCTCTCCCCAAGCATGCTCTTCCCCACGCCAGGAAGTCAGCAGTGTACAGACGGTGCGCATCACCTCTGGCTACTAAACAGACCGGACGTTTGCTTTGAAAATTAAAGTACAGGGTCGCTTCTGGAGCATTTTCATCAGCTCATTACTAGATAGTTTTTTAAGACTTGACCACTTTCAAATCTGTCTGTGAGATTGTTTTCAGTCACCAAGGACTCCATCTGAAGTCGCAGGTGCTGGAGTCACTAACCCCCTTCCCCCGGAGGCCCCAGTCCCAAGCTTTTATGGACGAAGCGTAATCATCCTGATGAGCCCGGAGGGAGAAGCAGGAACCCACAGTCTCTCAGCTTTTCTTCAAAGCCTTCCTGTTCCAGTCACCAAACCCTCAAAGACGGGGCGAGCGGTCAGGCGCAGGCTCCCTGAGACGAGAGCATCACAGAGACCATGCTAAGCAGCCGTCACTGGGAAGGAAGGACAGCCCCCGCGTTACCCGCCCCAAACCCAGCTGCCCTACTGTGCTCTGGTTCAGAAGGACATTTGAGTGGGACGGAAGCGGGAGGCAAAGGCTGGAACAAAGAGCAGGGTGTCCATGTGGGAGGTGGCCATGACTCCAGGGGACGCAGCGTCAGTGACCCCCACCCGCCCTCACTGTGCGGCCTGGCGGGGGTACAGATGGAGCCCTGACTTCAGACAGCAGCCCTTGCTTTCCCGTCGGCGGGACGAGGCAAACGTTTCTGATGGTAACCTGAGTTTCCACTGCCCCCCAGGGCCTGGCACTCCTGCCTCAAGGGTGGGTACAGGGGCTGGGTGACCTCAACTTGAGCCCAAGCTGCCACCTGGGCCCAGATTTCCACCTGCAGGACCGTAGGCATCTCAGACCCTCAGCTGTTCTCTCTGCACGATGGGACTTCCCCTGCGGCCGGCTTCTTGTTGGGATGAAGGCACCTGGGACTTCCACCGGGACCGGGCCCATTGTTGCTACCCAGGCTGCCTTTACCTCAGCAGGGCACACTCATCATTCGAGGCGTGTTTTTGGGGTGCCTGCCACATGCCCTGGGGCCCCAAGATCAAGTCTGCCACCTGCTCATTCCAGGTGTGTGAAGATTCCCAGTGCTATTCGGGGATGCCGGCCAGAAGACCCTCTGTGTGCTGGGGTGGGGGTAAACCAGCCCCATCAGGTTAGGGGACAGCTGGAAACCTCTCGAAGCCCCGGCTGGTTTAGCTCTCCATCATGGGAGAGCCACCTCCATCATGGGAGAGCTGCCCCCATCCCTCACCCCCAGGTGTGCCCAGATGTGGCCGGCTACCCAGCCGAGCTCTCCATCTACAATGCTTCCCAGGGACATCTTGCTGGGCTCCAGTCACTCTTCCGCTAAGTCAGTGCATCCTCCGCCCCGGGTCCACATTCCCGGAGGCCCCCGGGGAGCGCCTAGCTGAGCTGCACGTGCTGAAGCGCAGGCTGGGCTGAGCAGACGGCCCGAGCCTGCAGACGAAGCTCCCAGCACCGGAGAGAGCCTGACTCCCTGCCCTCATGGGAGAGACAGCCAGCACCTTGGCTGAAGCAAAACCCACAGCCACGCCGAGGGCCCAGCTTCCAGGGACAGGCCAGGTGGACGTGCGGGTATACTATCGGCCTGCTGAGGAAGTCAGCGACACGTCCCCTGCACTGCTGCCATGAGAGGCCCTGAGCCGTGCAGCAGTCCAGGGGAGCGAGGCCGGGTTGCTGGGGCCGGGGAGACCTGCGCAGAAGGCAGTGAAATCCCAACCAGGGCGGGGTTCCCGGCCCAAATCTGAGGGGGAAGGCTTCTCGGAGGAGGCAGATGGCTGGGGTCAGGGCGCGTGTACAGGACAGCACTGGGGCAAAGGGAAGGAGGTGAGGAGAGAGCAGAACTGCACAGCACCTCAGCGGGCAGCGAGGAGGAAAGCGGGGGCCGGGGACACAGTGACTGTAGCTGCGGGTGTCCCCGCTGCTAAGTGACACCAGAGAAATGGGTATTTCTGACCAATTCCCTGAGGATCCATTGCTTCCCAACGTCCCCATCATCCCTGGGTGGAAGGAAGTGCCCCCGAGGGGGAGGCAGTGAGCCAGGAGAGGAGGCGGCAGGGAGGGCCCTCCGGCGACTGCCAGCAGGTGGACTAGGAGGGTGTCCAGACCTGGGGCGCATGTGTTTCCCATGCAGGGCCGGATAGGGTGTTTGCGGCTCTGCGGGCCCTATGTTCTCTGTTGCACTTTCTTCTCCTTCCATTCACAACCCCTTCAAACTGTAAGACCGTCCTTGGGTCAAGGGCCAAACAAGAAGAGGCGAGGCACAGGCGGGACCTGGCCCGAGGGCCGTGGTTGGCTGACCCCCATCTAGGGCAGGGCTCTAGAGCCAGGGCTAACCAGGGAAGTGTCTCCGTGGAGGATGGCGGAGTCCACACCTGTCAGCGCTGAGGTTCAGTGGGTGACCCCGCCCTGGCACACCCCCCTGAAGCCCCCCAGCCGGCCCCTTTTGGGCAACCCCAGGGGTGTGGTGACTCTGAGGCGGCTCCTCTCTGGGAGCCACCGTGTCTTGAGAGACAACGTGGGGTGCGCCTTCCTTCCCCGGGGCCCCCCTCGCAGCTCAGGGTCTGGGCGAGACCCCAGAGGCCTGGGCCTTTTCAATGGCACGAGCTTCACAGGAGTCACGAGACCCCAAACAGGTTGGGGTCACCCAGGAAAAGACCTCAGGCTCATGGACAGAATGTTCTGGATGGCCAGGGGTGGGCAAGGGGAGTGCTGTGCCTCACAGAGTCCGAAGTGGGACTTTGCGCCCGGCGCCCCCTCACTCTGGCTTCACACTGGCCAGGTGGCACCTCGCTGGAGGGGCCACTGCGGTGGGCGGGGCCACGGGCACAGCGCCCCGAGGACTCCGGTTCTGCGGGTCTCGGCAAACCAGGGTCCTGAACAGCCGGGGCCTGAACCCCACGTCCCACTAGTAAGGCCAGCGCCTTGGGGTAGGTCCAGGACGTGCTTCAGTTTCCACGTTCCCAAAAGTCTTCTAATGTCTTAAATCTCAACTTTTTGATTTTTAAAAAAAATATCTAAGGATCACTAATAACTAACCTTGGCTTCCTTTTTCACAAAGAAATGAGAATGTTCTGCTAGTCGGGGAAGCCCGGGACCACCCTGTGCAGGACAGGCTCCCTCACGCCCACCCTGCCCAGTGGCCTCCAGGCTCGGGCACTGGGTCCTCAGGCCCCGCCACCACATTTGGCTGCAGAGGAGCCACACCTCTGACTCGTGACCAGGAAAGCGCTCCGACAGTGGGCGCAGGTCACCCATCAGGGAACCCCACAGGGCTCCATGGAAGAGCTGGCATCCAGGGAGACGGGGCTCCCAGGGCTGAGGCCGTGTCTCTGGGGCCCTTCTCCCCGTCCCGCCCATGCACCCTCCTGGGGCATGGGGTCTGTGGAAGGGACGGTGTCGGTGTGGATGTGTGTGGCAGCGGGCAGCGCGTGGCTCCGCAGGCCGTGAGAGACACCAGCTTGCCCCATTTCGGAGGCGGAGCGGGTAACGCCTTGTTAAAATGCGAAGGCGCTTCAGCCTTGGCTGAGACCCGTGCCCCTGACTGTGTTTCTGGGACTGCGGTCACTGATGCTGTTCCCATCGTCGTGTTCACGTTGCAGACAAACCAGATGAGATAGTCCCCGCCTCCAAGCCATCCCGAACCGTCGAGAACGTGGCCGTGGAGTCCAGGGTGGCCACCATCAAGCAGCGGCCCACCAGCCGGTGCTTCCCGTCCGTCTCTGACATGAACGTGAGTGGCCGTGCCCCGGGGACCAGGGAAGTGGGCGGGCCTCGCAGCATCGCCCCTGTGGTGGCAGGGCCCAGCCTGAGTGGCAACGGCCGTCCTTGCAGTGGTGGCTTACGCTCCCCACGCTGTCCAGACACGGAGCCCCAGGCTGAGTGGCCACGGGACAGGCACTGTGGCCCAGTGGGGACAGACCAGAGCCTGGCCACCACTCACCACATGACCTGCACTCAGTCACCACACATACATGCGCACACACACCCCTCTAGGGCTGCAAGGCCTGAGAGCCCCTTCAGACAGAAGGGCCTCCGCTCCTAGTCTCCCCAGAGTACAGAAGCCCCCGGGGCTGGAAGAGGCCCGGTTTCAGACCCGGGCGTAGGGGCCTCCCCTAGTGGCGGCTCCACGCACAGCAGGACCCAGGGGACGAGGGCATGCCTCCCAAGATCTCAGGGGCCGGGAGCTGGGGTCGCACAGGGCTGGGCTTCGAGGACTCGGGTCACCGCGCCCAGTGCCCAGCTCAGAGCCGCCCTCTCGGGACCCTGCCTGGTGGCCCAGGGGCTGGGGCAGAGGCGCTGGGCTTCCCCGGGGCCGGCTCGTCCTGGGCAGGCTGCTTCTCACTGTTGTCCTGACTCAGCCCTCGGCGCCCCATCTTCGTGCCTGGTGCTGGATCCCAGTACTACCTGCTCTGAATACTTACACAGTATTTTCTCTGAATCCACTTTGAACTGACTCACTCTGTTTAACCTAGCCTTTCCTTAAACAGTAATACCCGTAAGGATCACCAATTTGATATGATCATTTTGTGCAGTACACATTAAAACAAACACAACTGTGAACAATTACAATTAAAATGCTCCGCCTGCCCCTCCCCCACCATCTCTGGAACTCCGAGGGGAGAGCGGCGGCTGCACGAGCTCGAGCTCTCGGTGGGCAGCCATCCTGCCAGGTCAGCCCTTCCCTCCTGGCCCTGCCTCCCCAGTCCTTGCCCCTGGCTGCACCCCAAGCCCCACCATGTCCCAGACACTCTCCAAGCCCAGCCTCAGGCTCCAGGGGAGAGAGCCAGCAGAGCCCCCAAGCCCCAGAGCCTAGGTCTGCGTCTCACCAGGCTGGGGACACGAGCACCAAATATGTAGGAACTTGCACAGGTGTTTCCATCGGGTTCTGCATCCGATATTTTTCCTGAGTTGCCCTCCAGCGCAGAGACATGGGGGCAGCCAGCAACCTCAGTTTTACAGTCAAGGAAGCAGCAGGTTCGGCGGAGGCTGCGCAGGGCATCTGTTTCCAAAGCGAAGGAGGCCGGCTCTAGGCTCCTCCTGAGCCAGGCCGGGGAGGGAAGACGGGAGCTGGACTGGGCCTCGGAGCTCCAGGACCGTCCTGCAGCTCGCTCGCTCACAGCCGGGACCAGCTCTCCATGCACCACGCTGTGGCTGGTGCTGTTAGCCCATTTTGTGGAGGAGGGAAATGGAGGCTCCTGCTTGAGGACATGGCCACGGTCAGACCCCACTACCCACCAGGGTGTTCTCTCTCCTACAGGACATCTGTCCTGGCCACTCTCCCAGAGACTTGTCTGTCAGCCACTCGGTGAATGATGTCAGGCAGACCATGGCTCCATGAACCGGGCACGCTGGCAGAGGGCGGGAGCTAGTGGGGAAGGTACAGACAGAGCCCTTCTGAGTCCTCGACGCTGGTGTGTCCTGTCAGCCTCAGCTGGACACTTAAGTGCTCCTGGAAGCAGCCCGGAAGCCACGTGATGGGTGCCCGCTGCCCGGGACTTCTGTGTCACCTTCTGGGCCTGGGCGCCATAGGTGGGGCTGATCCCGGCATGGCTCACCCCGGGCTCTCTGGTTTGCAGTCTGTGTACGAACGCCAGGGGATCGCCGTGATGACACCCACTGTTCCTGGGAGCCCGAAAGGCCCATTTCTGGGCCTCCCTCGAGGTACGATGCGAAGGCAGAAATCAATAGGTAAGAAGTGTGGCCCGCACCCGAAGAGGTTGCCCCTTGGCTCTCAGAGCAGCCCCAGACTCCCGCAGCAGCGCTGCCACCAGGGCCCGCCCAGCGACCCCCCCAGGCCCGCCCATCAGAGGGCAGGCACCCGGCCAAGCTGCTGGGGAGCCCTTTCCAACTTTTCTCCCCACTGGACCCCCGATCCAGGGTGGCTTCTGCAACCTTGCAAGCCACATTGTGTGTGATAACACCAGCAGGGTGAGGGGGCCACGTCAGGAGGGAGGCGGGGGCTGGGCCCGCACAGGTCAGAGGTGGCCGGGGAGTGGGCCCTGTGTTCCCTGCGGTCCCCACGGTCCCTGTGTAGACTGGCCCGTGCCATGTTGTGTAGGACGAGCTCAATGGACATACTTCTAAGGGTGGCTGGGTCAGGTGCTTGAATTCTAATAAAATCATGTACTGTGTGTTGTAGAAAACTGCTTACCTTTCTTGCTAATGTCACATGATCCCCACTGGCTCTGCTCCAGGCGAGGTAAACGTGACCCTTCAGACAGTCCCTTCGTGAGACTACCGTGTAAGGTCTCAGAGAAGCTAAGGCCACTGCTGGACACCAGTGGACCCTTGCCATTTAAAGAGAAGAGTGTGTGTGGTGGCCACAATGGGCAGCCCCGGTCCCGCCCTTGGGGACACTGCTCCCTGTGTTCTGGAAACACCTCCTGGCGATGCTGTCTGGAGGCGTGGCTGGTCTGTCCCTAGTTTGAGGTGGATTACAGTAGGCAGTGGCTCCATGACAAGTGATGGTGGAGGGGCACGTGCTGTCCCTGACACTCACCCGTCCCAGGAGCTCGGCCCACAGAGTAGCGCCTACGCCGTGTGTGTCACTTGCTCTGTAACCGGTTAATAACAATTGATTTCCTCCTGTCAGACAGCAGAATCTTTCTATCAGGTCAGTGAACCTTACGGTCTGGAATCTGTAGTATGAATGTCACCCAGTTGACTCTGTAAGGTGTATTCTTAAATTACTACTCCTTGGGAACGTAATTGTCAGGCAGCCGACAGGTAGCAAACGGCCAGCGCAGGAGGCCTGGCAGCAGCCATCCTCGGCGTCGCCGCAGTGCCCTCCCACAGGAGTACGTCCAATTTGGAATACCCTTATGGAGCGGGAGTGTCCGCTGGAGTCCATGACTGTAGTCTGTCCTGGGAGTTTCTTGATTTGAAGGACTTCCTGCTGTCCCTCTGCATGCCCCCGACGTGAGACCTCGTACTTCCCGTCTGTCGCTGTCTGTCTGTCTTGCTTCCCGTCTCCTGGAGTGCATTCTGTTGACGTCTGCATATCTCGGGCTGTCAGGAAGAGAGTCTGAAAGCCTCCCCAGTCGACACACAGAGAGCGCAGGCCCGCGGGGCTGACAGGCCCGCGTCCCCACGGCCGTCCCCTCAGCACGTTCCCTCACATCCAACATCCACGTGTTTCACTAGACTGAGGCCTGGAACACGACCTGACTGTGTGCCAAGCAGGCCGATCTTTGCTCCTGGTTACTCAGGGTTGTGGTAAATTGGACCCGCTCTAGAGCTCCCCGGAGGATCCAGAAAGGGCTCGCTGAGGCCAGCGGCTGAGCGCTTGCTCAGGAGCCTGCTCCGGGCTTGGACTGGCGTCCACACAGCCACCCTCCTGAGGGCCCAGGGAGCTCCAGGATTGAGCCCTCGGGTAGCCCAGAGAAGTCAGGCAACAAAACGGGCTCCTGTCACATGGGCAAGACCAGGGTTCACAGCACGTGCAGGGCCATGAGCCCACCGATGGCTCTGCTGAAGGGTGGCCAGCCTCCCTGCACACCCGGGCAGGACGATGGCGCTCTCCTGCCTCTGAACAGTGGCAGCATCCGTGTCACATCGGCCAACACAGCAACTCCCTCAACTCCTGTACCCTTCCCCCTCGTTTCAGATGGGCAGCATCACAGCTTCAGCCCCCAGACCCTAAAAACACCGCCTGCGGGCCCCTGCCAAGCCAGGAAGGATGGATGCCCCCCGGTCCAGTCCAGCCCTGCCCCAGCACACGCACATGTGCACGTGTGTGCATGCACACATGCACACAAGCAGCCCTGAGGTCAGGTGCCCAGTGCTTGGCCGGTAGAGCAACACGCAGCTCGTCGTCCAGGCCCTTACCACCCTGGCCTCACACGTCCCTCATGCCCGCCACTCGGCCACAAGCACAGCATCTCAGCAGCACGCACTCAGTGCATCCCCAGTGCCTTTGTCTTCTTTTCTTTCTTTTTTTTTTGGCTCAGAATGGGCTGCGTAACCCCTTGGCCTCGTGGCTTGTGCTGTGTTCTGTGAGCAAGTGTGCATCGTGATTCTTTGTGAGTTTGCAGAGACGTAGTATGTCACACAATCCTAGGAGCTTAGTGGGCTGTGTGTCACTGTCGTGATTTAAAACTAACCCTTCCTTCTACTTGTAGGAATAACAGAGGAAGAGCGACAGTTCCTGGCCCCTCCCATGCTGAAGTTCACCAGAAGCCTGTCCATGCCGGACACCTCGGAGGACATCCCCCCCCCACCGCAGTCCATACCCCCGTCTCCACCACCACCTTCCCCCACTGCCTACAACTGTCCCAAGTCCCCAACTCCAAGAGTCTATGGGACGATTAAGCCTGCGTTCAATCAGAACTCCGCTGCCAAGGTGTTGCCGGCGGCGCGCTCTGACACGGTGGCCACCATGATGAGAGACAAGGGGCTGTACTACAGGAGAGAGCTGGACCGCTACTCCCTGGACTCCGAGGACCTCTACAGCCGCAACGCCGCCGCCCAGGCCAACTTCCGCAACAAGAGGGGCCAGATGCCCGAAAACCCATACTCGGAGGTGGGCAAAATCGCCAGCAAAGCCGTCTACGTGCCCGCCAAGCCCGCCAGGCGGAAGGGCATGCTGGTGAAGCAGTCCAACGTGGAGGACAGCCCTGAGAAGACGTGCTCCATCCCAATCCCCACCATCATCGTCAAGGAGCCCTCCACCAGCAGCAGCGGGAAGAGCAGCCAGGGCAGCAGCATGGAGATCGACCCCCAGGCTTCGGAGCAGCCGGGCCAGCTGCGGCCTGACGACGGCCTGGCCGTCAGCAGCCCCTTCGCTGCCGCCATCGCTGGGGCTGTCCGAGACCGGGAGAAGCGGCTGGAAGCCAGGAGGAACTCCCCGGCCTTCCTCTCCACGGACCTGGGGGACGAAGACGTGGGGCTGGGGCTGCCCGCCCCCCGGATGCTGCCCTCCAACTTCCCCGAGGAGGGTGGGTTTGGCGAGGAGGATGGCGCCGAGCAGCTGTCACCGCCCACGTCAGGGGCAGTGCCCAGGGAGCCCGAGAACCATTTTGTGGGTGTCGGTGAGGCCGGAGCTCAGGGTGAGGCCGGCAGGCCACTGAATTCCACGTCCAAAGCCAAGGGGCCCGAGAGCAGCCCCACGGTGCCCCCCAAGAGCAGCAACGCGGCTGGCCCCGAGAACTACGTGCACCCGCTCACAGGGCGGCTGCTGGACCCCAGCTCCCCGCTAGCCCTGGCGCTTTCTGCAAGGGACCGAGCCATGAAGGAGTCCCAGCAGGGCCCCAAGGGGGAGGCCCCCAAGGCCGACCTCAACAAACCTCTCTACATCGATACCAAAATGCGGCCCAGCGTGGAGGCGGGCTTCCCCACGGTAACCAGGCAGAACACTCGGGGGCCCCTGAGACGGCAGGAGACGGAGAACAAGTATGAGACGGAGCTGGGCAAGGACCGGAAGGGCGACGACAAGAAGAACATGCTGATCGACATCGTGGACACGTCGCAGCAGAAGTCGGCCGGCCTGCTAATGGTCCACACCGTGGACGCTGCCCGGTCGGACGACTTTCTGGAGGAAGAGGATGAGAAGGCCGACATGGAAACAAAGCCAGACAGCTCGCCCACCGAGGTGCCAGAAGGCGTTCCTGAAACCGAAGGTGCTTTACAGATCTCCGCCGGCCCCGAGCCCGCCAACGCTGCCGCGCCCGGCAGGACCATTGTGGCGGTGGGCTCCATGGAGGAGGCGGTGATTTTGCCATTCCGCATCCCCCCTCCCCCTCTGGCATCCGTGGACCTGGACGAGGAATTTATTTTTACAGAGCCATTGCCTCCTCCCCTGGAATTTGCCAATAGTTTTGATATCCCCGACGACCGCGTCGCTTCTGTCCCTGCTCTCACAGACTTGGTCAAGCAGAAAAAAAACGACGCCTCCCAGCCCCCTTCGTTGAACTCCAGCCAACCCACCAACTCTGCAGATAGCAAGAAGCCGGCCGGTCTTTCAAACTGTCTGCCTGCCTCATTCCTGCCGCCCCCCGAAAGCTTTGACACTGTCACGGACTCTGGGATCGAGGAGGTGGACAGCCGGAGCAGCAGTGACCACCATCTCGAGACGACCAGCACCATCTCCACAGTGTCCAGCATCTCCACCCTGTCCTCCGAAGGCGGGGAGAACGTGGACACCTGCACAGTCTATGCAGATGGGCAAGCATTTATGGTTGACAAACCCCCAGTACCTCCTAAGCCAAAAATGAAGCCCGTAATTCACAAAAGCAATGCACTTTATCAAGACGCGCTCGTGGAAGAGGATGCGGATAGCTTTGTTATCCCCCCGCCGGCCCCCCCACCGCCGCCGGGTGGTGTCCAGCCCGGGACAATCAAGGTTATCCAGCCAAGGACCTCCAAGTTGTGGGGTGATGTCTCGGAGATCAAAAGTCCGATTCTCTCAGGCCCAAAGGCGAATGTGATTAGTGAATTGAACTCAATCTTGCAGCAAATGAACCGAGAGAAGTCGGCAAAGCCTGGGGAAGGACTGGATTTGCCGACGGGAACCAAGCCTGCCAGCCTCGCTCCAAGGTAAGTCCCTCAGTTGGCTTAGACGCAGACCGCTCCGTGCTGGGCTGTCCTCTGTCTCGTCCGGCCCGTGCTGCCCGGGAGGTGCCCTTCGGGAGAACCACAGCGGACGTGAAGAGGGGATGCCGAAAGCCTGTGTGCTGGCCGCATCATTGCGCTTCTCTTCCGCATTCTCCAGGACGCCGTCCGGGCCGCAGAGCAAAGATCCCATCCATCCTGGCAGGACAGCAGCCGGCACTCCCCTCAAAGACCTGTGTTATACACTGCCGCCGCCCGAACCCTCCCCAGCTGGGCTTCCAGAGAGGGGCTCTGCTCTCTCCGTTCATGTCCTCCCGATCTTTGCCAGGACCACCCGAAAGGCCATTCGAGAGCCCCACAGAAACCCAAATTGAGCTCCACCAAGCTGGTTGCAAGAGGGTAGCCATGCCAACTGGGCGTGTGAGGGGTCGGCAGCGCGTGGGGGTGTGATGAGGTGTGCGTGGGTTCTGCCCTCCTCCCTTCGCTCGGTGGGCTGAGGGTGGGGCGGGCCGGGTTGTGGCCTCCCTGGTGAATCTGAGTGAGACGCAGCCCCCTGCCAGCCCAGCCTACCCCGGCAGGCAGACCTCATGGAAGAAAACCAGCCGGTTTTCCCCAGGTCAGCCATTCCCAGCATCCTGCAGAATCTAAGCGCCTGCCATTGGGACTGGGGGTAGAGCCTGGGGGTCTCGGCGCAGCCGGCAGGCTCAGGAGGCATGCGCTCCTCCAGCACAGCACAGGCCCCCCCCGCCCGCCCGCAGCTCTCCCTCTCCCGCCGTTTCCTCAAGGTTCTCGGGTCTCTTCCCCGTGACACGTGACACACACCAGCTTGCTGTTCCCCAGGGGCGGTGTTCTCCAGCTTCTCCCACCGACGTTTACTCCTGGGTGTCATCACTTTGACTGATGCAGTCTTTCTTCAGGCTCCTGCTGGGCAGGCGTTTGCGTCAACATCCAAGTCTATTAGCAGCAACACCACATTAGGGCGGGGTCTTGAGGCGCACCGAGAGCCACAGGGTCCCAGCCACCTTTCAGTGCGGGCGTAAAGACATTACTTGGACGGCTCCCGTTACCCCTCAGAGGAAGAGTGACAGGCCAGCCTTGGTAGAGAGAAGCAAGCTGACACCGCTGTGTTTTAATGGGGCACCCAGCAACAGCTGTGACATTTGAATAGAACCTCGGGTTGAAGAGAAAACCTTTAAAAATTCCCTGTTTCTGGTGGACGTATGTACACACATACCTACAAATATCATAGGCTCAGAAGTCTCAAGGAAATCTTAAGAACTGCCTAGTCTTGCCCTTTCTCATTGAATGATACAGTTCTCTAGCTGCTACATTATGTGAAAGTACATCAGTTAGGATGCTTCATCTCAGTGTTTCACATTTTACAAAACACTTTCACGTGGGTGAATAATCTTTACGAGACAAACCCATTTATCAGAAGGGGAAATGGAGACTCAGAGAAGCCAAGTGGCTTGTCCACGTGTGAGCCAGCGGGAGGCAGAGCCAGGACGAGGCTCAGCTTTTCTGACTAGCACTTCCCTGCATTAGCAATGTCGGGAGGTCAGAAGATGCTGAAGGGGGTGACTCCAGGGCCACCCAGGCCAGGGGCAGCCTGCACCAAGCTGTCGTCCCCTGGGCACTCCCAGCTGGAGTGGGGTTTCCAGGGGGCCACTCTGCTCCCCACCTCTAATCATTTCCCCACTGGATGGACTCCCAGGGGCTCGGAGGAAGCTGGGTCTCCGAGGTGTATGTGTCTGCAGGGCTCCCTGCTCTGCACTTCCCTACGTGGGAGGGGCCTCCGAGCCTACGTCACCTGGCAGAGTCCTGCTGGATTTCTCGAGAGCAGCTGCAGGACCACCTCCAGCTGAAGCTCAGTTGCCAAGAACAGCCACCTCCGGTCTGTTGTTATTTATAACCCAATTCACTTACACCCAGAACATTAGCCGGCATCTGTTAAGCACTCGCCAGCTGCTGGGCATCGCTGAGGCAGGCAGGGCTATAATTATTCCCTGTGCAGATGTGCAAACGAAGCTCAGAGAGTGGAGCACTCGGCCAAGGGTACTCAGCCAGAAGACGCAGCACCTCCAACCCCGAGAGCTGTCTCAGGGTTTGACTCCTGACCTCTCACTGGAGCCCAGGATCAGCCTGGAAGGCAGGAGCAGCGGACTTGACATCCGCAGGGCTGAGACCCGCGGGCAGGGCTGTTCTCAGGCCCTGGGGACTCCCCCTGAGCCCAGCTGAGTGCCCGGAAGTCTCCTCCCTGGCTCCCGGCGGCAGCTAACAGGCAAGGTCAGTCATCAGACGCGCGCCAGCACTGCTGAGTACCAGAGGCTGCATCCCGCTCTTCCTGCTCACGACTAAGGGTGACAGTGAGTTGGACTAGGAATAGGATGGCCCTGAGGCCAAGGGACAAAGAGGAAGGTCACTGACTTTAGGCCCTAAGCTGGGCCCTCAATTGGCTTCCCTGGTTCTGAGCTCACAGCCTCACCAGGCAAAGCCCTCAGTGGGCGCGAGCTGCAGCCACGAGGCATGCAGACGGCGGTAAGTTGGGGCAGCGGCTACCGGGCAGAGCCCGGGGGTGTGCCAAAGCTGGTCCCCAGGCCCCGGGCGCTGTGTCTCTCTTAGGAATCGGCGGCAATCACCCACATTTCTCCTCTCACACAGACACCCCCGGGCCATGCCCCGCCTTTGCTGGGTCTTGCCTCCCCCTTCAGCATCCTCTCAGCCAGGGCTCATCTGCCCGGGCCTCACGCCGCTACTCTCAAATGCATCTAAAAATTAAGAGCTGGAAATGGCCCTGGGCAAAATGAGGCACAAAACTGGATGAAGGGAATTCCTACTGAGGAAAAAGAAATGGATTTTCCTAGGGAAAACTGAAAACCGGCTTTGCCCTTTGACAGACGAACAACGGTGTAAAAAGGCCATTTCCGTAGAAACAAGTTTTAATCGCCCGAGAAAGGGACAGATTCTAGAGTCGCTTCACAATTGTCCGTGCCATAAGTGAGAGGAGCCTCAGCTGACTCGCCCCTAAGTTACTTCCACCCTTGGGTTCTTTGCAACAACGCTGAGGCGAGAGTACTTTCACTTCTTGCTGGAACCCAGGACGGGACCGAGGGAGAAGAGAAGGGTGTCACTAGACCCTTCCTTACTTGGGGACATCTGACTTAACTTGAGCCATCAGTGAGTTTGCTGCTAAGATCTGTTCCCCGAAATCAGGGACGACGTGGGATTTGGTTATGTCTGGATTACAATTCTGTCCCGAAAGAAGACGATCGAGGAGTTTAGTCCATAATGTTGGAGGCATTGCCTCAGGCCTGATCCGGACACACTGCACTGAGAAGGGAGCCGCCAGGCACTTCTGGGAAAAGTGCTCCCGGGGCGGCCTGGCCTGACTTTCCCAGGCAATGGTCTCATTTTGAAGAGGGCATCCTGCTCCATCAAAGGGAAGGGGGCTGAGGTTAGAGGGGAGTGTGTGCCTCTGTGAGGAGTCCGCTGGCTCTCATCTCGGGAGAACCCCAAAGCTGCCGGGGCCTTCCCGGCCCGTCGGCACTGCGGCTGGAGGCCCCCAGCCCTTCCCTGGGAAGCTCAGAGCCTAGAGGATGACTGGCAGTGCCAGCGGCCCCAGCGACAGCACCGTGGCTCCCACGTGAGAACAGGCACATATGAACACGTTCTTGACAACTGCGGGAGTGTCCTCCACTGGCTTGGTGCATTTGACCTTCCAGAGCCCTTCAAGCATCTCCGACGGGTTCACAGCTCGGGGATTCCTGAGCTGCTGCAGTGTGGAGCCCCATGCCCGACCTGAGGGAGGACAGCAACAAGAGGGATGCACACTGAGGAGGAGGAAGCCTGGGCCCTCGGAAGCCGAGCGGCGCATTCAGTCATTAATCGTTCACTTGGCAAATATGAGTGGTTCCCTCGTACGTGCCAGGCACCGAGCTGAGCCCCAGGATTTCTCACTGAACAGAAAACCTTCAAGGGCCCTCCTCCCGTGGGGTGCCGCAGTCCCCAGGGGAAATGGACAGTAAATAAAGAACGAGACACACCCGACGTGCACCTTGTGCTGCAGAGGAACAAAGATGTGCTCACAAGTCGGAGAGACGCTGTGCAGGAAGGTGACACTCCTTAAGGAAGTGACATTTGAAGGACTTGAAATACAAAAAGGAACTAGTTGTGCAGTAAACCAGGAGCGGAGCATCCCAGGCACAGGGGACAGCGAGCGCAAGGCCCAGCGGCCAGAAGGCGCTTCCCAGGCTGCAGGAGCTGTGGCCCAGTGCGGGGAGGGCTGGCAGGGGCCGGGCCTCAGGGCTCTTTCGGGCCGGGCCGTGGGGAAGAGCCGGTCCGCGTGCTGACAACGGCAGCCATCCAAGGGTCCAGGCAAAGGCTCAGCGTGACCTGACTTTGGTTTCATAAGATGACCCAGCAGCTGTCTGGTTAGGCGGATGACGCGGTGACACAGAGGTTACAGAGAGGTCCGTCAGCAGCCACCGTGGGATCCGGGTGTGAGACCAGGGAGCCTGTGCTCTGGAGAGAGGTGGATGGATGGAGACAGGTGCCTTGGGAACCCAGAAAAACAGCACAGTGTGCCTGACTTACACCCTTTGACCCCAGACAAGGGGCTAGGACCCAGGAAGCCCAGGCATCATCCTAAACCAACATCTGTTGTTCATCAGCACTTCCGAGGAAGTGGGAGGTCACTTTCACCTTCTGGCGGGCGGACAGAGCAGGGAGTGTGTGCCTGTGGGGGTGCCCTGTGGCTTTCGTCCAGAGGGCGTAGCATCTGCTGGATCCCCCAGGATCCCCTCTAGATTGCCTAGCTCTTCTTTGGTGGGTCCAGGGGCAACTGAGGCTGGCCTCCACCTCTTGGAGGCACTGCCCGGCTTGGGGAGGAGGCGCATTGGGTGGAGCTCCAGGTCGCCGAGGCCTCCGAGGGCGGTGCCGGCTGGCCAGACGTGTGAGCCAGGCCAGTCCTCAGGAAAGGCAGTCGT